TCTTCTTCTTCTTCTTTTTATGCTCGTCTTCCTTTTTGCTTCGTCCAGTCCGCTTCTCTTCCTCCTCTTCTTCTCTCTCGTCGCTCGCTCGTCCCTCTCCTCTCCTTCGCCGCGACATGTCCCTCTCCCCCGACCACCACCAGCATAGTAATATCAACATCAACAACATCAACAACAACTACTACTACTACTGCTACTACTACTACATCACCACTGCTACTCCTTCCAGCTCACGCAGATAATACAGACATGCCCTGCTAGAAACACTCCATTGGCCGTCGACTCTCCGCTGACCGTCTGCGTGTCGGCTCGTCTGAGCTTCCCTCCTTTCGAAAGCAGTTCTGCTGGCAGACTCCGCGAATAGCTAATACAGATTACCACCACCCACAACTACACACAGAAAACTACTACAGATGACGATAGAGATGGCCTCGCTGGAGGATCGGTTCCAGGTCCTCAAGGAGGTCGGCGATGGCAGCTTCGGCAGCGTCGCCCTGGCCAGAGTGCGCACTGCAGGCTCAAATGTCGCCCGTCGAGGGACCATGGTACGCCTCCGTTCCTGACCCAGAGATCACGATCACTAGCTTTTGACAGCTATGACAGGGCCAGTTTTTGCTAACAGGAGCCCGCTGTAGGTCGCCATCAAGACGATGAAGAAGACATACAACTCCTTCACCGAGTGTCTGGATCTCCGCGAGGTCGTCTTCCTGCGCTCGTTGCCGCAGCACCCGCACCTGGTGCCTGCCTACGACATCTTCCTCGACCCGGGCACCAAGAAGCTGCACATCTGCATGGAGTACATGGACGGCAACCTCTACCAGCTCATGAAGGCGCGAGAACACAAGCCCCTCGAGCCCAAGGCCGTCAAGTCCATCCTCTTCCAAATCCTGTCCGGCCTCGACCACATACACGCCCACCAATTCTTCCACCGCGACATCAAGCCCGAGAACATACTAGTCTCCAGCAACACCTCGCTCGAGTCCTCCTCGTCCACCTTCAGCCGCTACTCCCATCTCGTCACCCCGCCCTCTACGCCCTCAAACTACACCGTCAAGATCGCTGACTTTGGCCTCGCCCGCGAGACACACTCGAAACGACCGTACACAAACTACGTTTCAACGCGGTGGTACCGCGCTCCCGAGGTGCTGCTCAGAGCCGGTGCGTACTCCGCTCCAGTCGATATGTGGGCTGTTGGCGCCATGGCAGTCGAAATAGCTACCCTGAAGCCCCTTTTCCCCGGCAAGAACGAGATCGACCAGGTATGGCGCGTGTGCGAGATCATGGGCTCGCCTGGCAACTGGTACAGCAAGAACGGTGCCAGAGTCGGCGGTGGTGAATGGCGAGACGGAATCAAACTCGCTCAACGGCTCGGCTTCTCGTTCCCAAAAGTGAGTTTTCGCCTTTTATCTATTTTACCCCTTCTATTGGCTTTTTATATGTGTATGATATACTGACCTTGCAGATGGCTCCCCATGCACTGGAAACAATTCTCCCAACCACACACTGGCCGCTCGCTCTTAGCCAGTTTGTGACATGGTGTCTTATGTGGGACCCCAAAGCTCGTCCTACCTCGACTCAGGCCCTCAATCACGAATACTTCACAGACGCCGTCGATCCGCTACGGCCCAAGTCGTCTACTGCTCGTCTACTCGGCCGCCGCCAGAGCGATAAGAACTTCAAGGTTAAGGATGTCGATGCGCCCACACCAACACTAGTCTCCAAGCCATCATGGTTCAGACGGTCCATTATTGGAGCTACTGGACGAGAGAGCCCGGCTCTGGCTAACATGGCTGAGAACACCTCAGAACCATCGTCTACAAATGAACAGCAGGCTACCATGGTAAAGGTCAGTCCCGAAGTGGCTGTACAAGTACAGGTCAAAACAAAATCGAAGCGTGCTACTTGGGCAAACGGTGCTCCCATGCCCATCCTTCCATCCATTCGGCCTGTGTCACCTCTTTCCAATGCCGTCACAGCCCAGGGTAACTCTCATGCGAACAATACCAACGCCAATTCTCCAGACAGAAAGGCAGCGAACCAAAACGGCACACAGCAGGCCAACCCAGCTGCGTCCAAGAAGGTGGCTCGCCAGCTGTCCGTCAACAGCAATGGGAATCACTATTCAGATGCCCACCGAGCAGAGGCAGAGCGTGCTCTCAACGGGTCTACGGCTACCACACCCACCCAGAAAGAAAGTTTCTTCTCTCATCTACGGAAACGGGCTCGTCGGTTATCTGGAAGAAATCAGACTACTATTCCAGCAGATGACGTGGAGGCTAATGCTGCTAGTGCTGCCTGGTCTGGTCCTACATCTAATCGGTCGAGCATGGCCATTGACCCCATCACCACCAGCCCGATAGCAAAGCAGTCATCTATGGCCAAGGGGAAAAATGGATTTGCGGATCTCGATAAGGCATTGCAGGATGTCAAATATTCGCTGGACAAGGCCTCTAGTCCCCAAGCGACTAGCGTCGCTGCCATAAGCCAGATCCCTTCTCCTGCCCAAAGTGTGTCAAACACTGCTCAGAATCCTGCAGCTGGACCCATATCCAGTCGGACTCGACGTGCTCTGCAGCTGTCCTCTCGTCCCGTTCAGCGGTACGAAACACCGGAGGAGGAAGATGAACTCCTCCAGGAGGTACTCTACTCTACCTCCAACGCTGCCAGGCATCTGCTAGCCGATCAGCCTGAGCCGCCTAGCGACGAACACGTCTACCACCAACAGCAGCGACAGCACCATCTGCAGCAACAACAACAACGGCAGCAGCAGCAGCAACAACAACAACAGGCGTCAAACACATACCCATTCATCGACACTGACCTTGACACACAAATGCATCATACTCCGTCAATACGGACAGTGGATGACAGCTGTCGCGCAGGTCACAATCCGTATCCTACCCCTTCTCCGACTGCCAGACGCGACGGGCTGGGCATGAACATGGGTATGAACATGGGCATGGGTATTGGCCTCGCGCTGACTCCTGACGAAACGCCCTCGAAACCAATGGCCAAGGGATTTGTCACCACAAACCTAGGGAATCGACAAGGTCCCACGCCTCCGTACGATGACAATCAATGGCCTAGCGCCGTCGGCGTAGGTGGCTTTTGATAGACGTGGTTCAATCATCGCCATGTCTATCGACTCGGCCTAATCTAATGGATACGCTCATCCCATACCTCCGCCAACCACCTCGCCACCACCGTCGACCACCACCAGCAGCTACTCAGCGACCCTACCCAGCGTATCCATCCCCAAACCATTCATTTCTTTCGTTTGTTCTCCATCTTTCGCTATTTCCTAATCCTTCTTTTTTGCTCTCATCTTTATCCTGCATTTTTTGATCATTTTACCTCCGCTTACTCGACATTTACTCCTAACTTTCTTTCCCTTTTTTTTCTCATTTATACATTTTGTTCATCATTCATATACACATAGAGAGGTTTTGGTGGGCCCGGTCATGTTTTATCTTTTATCATCTTCGGCTGTTTTTTTCCTCGTCCTCGCTTCGGCTCTTAAGCGATCATAGCTGATTTGCTTGCTTGCTATTTTCTCGTCGTCCCTCTCTTACACCCTCCCTTCGCGCCCCCCTACTCCACGGGACTGGACTTGACTACTTCATTTTCTTTTCCTTCTCATCTTCTTTATACCCCATTGTTTCCTTTATCTGCCTGACTATTAGATCCCGGTTCGATCCCAGCTGGTCTTGCGGCTTTCCTACATGTTGTGTTATTTGCTATCTGCGTGTCTATCAGATATCCCATCTACCACCACATTTACGCATTTATCCATATTATTTATTAATATTTTAATCTCTGCCCCCATTTTCGCCCCCACTTCCCTCAGGCACTTGTTGATATACTTCCCTCTTTATACTTCTCTCCCTTGTTCCGGTATAGGGGGAAATGGCAGGTGGTCGGCTTCTGTTTGCATGCATGCATTCGCTTCCTTTCTTTTTCCTATTTCCACCAATCTACTGCTCCTATTGAGCTTGGTCCTTTACCCACCTTCTTTTAACTATATACTCGGGGCAACTTCCCCCCATTGCGAACCGGTCCATGTGCTGCTCCCAGCCTCAGCCAACCAACCAACCAACATATCAACCTGCACGGCTATATCCCCTTCCCCCCACCTACTTTTCCTTATGTCTAACCCTCCCCATCCTGTTTAATACTACTTGTATATTCATTCATTATGCGGTCATCCTCTCTGGACCCCTTTCATATTTCTTGCTTTGTTTTCCTGTTTCATGCACATAGACAGCACAGCACAGCAGCAACAAAAACACCCTTTGTTTAACTGGAGGACCTTGTTCTTCCTGCTTTCTTACTTTTTTTTTTTTCCTTGCCCTGTACAATCCATTTTGTCTGGCAGCAGGGCTGGCTGGGTTGGGAAATGGCTCTACGTTTTTTTGATTCCGCTTTCTTTCGGTTTCCGGCTCAGGCTCAGCTCTGGCCTTAAGGCTTACTGTACTTATATAAATACGGAGCGCTACGTTTTAATCGTGACATCTAACCTGCCTTATACATACATATATATCAACCAATCGATAAAATAATCAAAATTAATTCATTTTTCATCAGAGCATGGTTCAAAAGGTGTACAAGATGTGGCGAAATTGAACTTAGTGTATCGGATCCTTTTCGAAGTCTATAAATGGTACCATGGCAACTGTACTACTTCGGTGTCTTATATCATATATTACTGGTCTCGTTTGCTTATTGTTCACTCCGAGGCTGAATACTTCAGCTTGTCAATATGTCTTTCCATATATGTCTTCGTCTACTGAGGACATATATTATATACGACTGCTAAGTCTTCCTGCACTGGCTCTCATACTCTGCTTGGGGTCACAAATTAAACTCTTCACATAGTCGTTTTCAATTACGGGGTACCTGACCATAAGATGGTTCCATGTTGTTTCATGAACCGCATAGCATATAAGTGGTGAAGCACCTCGGCTGGCTGGAGACAAATCTTGATTCCGACAGGCCCTTGAATTTGAACGTTGCTTGTTCGTATGACACAGGTGTTATCGTGGTAGAACCGTCCTAATCCCTCATTCATGAAACACATGCTGAAGTAATGACCGTAATTTTCTCCTCAATCGTCCGAGTTGACATACTCCGATACTCCGAGTAGAGCAGCGAGTATCGGCATCACAGACACTTGGCTAACTCTAGAGAGATAAGTTTGAGGGTGTGAATAGTAGCGTATCGTATCAGGCATCATATGATATGGACGTCTTTTGAAGACAAGAATATTCGGCGGACGTGCGGATATGTTTGCCGCAAAGATGGAATATCAATAGACGGCGAGATATATGAAGATCCATGGAGTGACCGAGCAAAGGAATGGCCCTAATAAGAATAAGCTCGTGAAAATGTGTTAAACCGCCTAGCTCCAGGCATGCCATGCTGCAATATAACTACTTGGTTGCTGGCAGCATAAGACACGCCACTGCAGGTAGTATCCCAGCTCTGCCAAGGGGTCAGCGAGCTTAAAGGACTCAAGCAATATTTGTATGCATGGTATTTCTGTCTTGCAGGTACGCAGTTGAAGCTAGTTGGGATGCCAGAGCTCTTGGTAGCTTGCGAGGGTGATCTACATCTTTTCTCGGAACCACCGTAGCTAACCAAGGCAGATTTTTAATGGGTACGGAGTATCCAGCTCGGTCTGTAAACTCCGTAGAGCATGGGATCCCGAGCCATTTCAACTATAGTAGCCCAAAACGAACCGAGGCTCTCTGTCCCTTGTCCCACCTCTCGCTCGACTGACTTCGTGTCGAAAAGGATCGAAAGGGAGAAGAAGCGTTGATGTCTGATATTTGATGCAGATGAAGAGTTGGATGCCAAGCTAGCCAGAAGCGGACTAGGCTAAGTTAAGGGTGCGGGCCGTTGCGGCTAGGCTTATGTAATCTAAGCTCAAAAGCAACATTCACAGGGGGAAAAGGGGATGAAACACGCCATGTTATTACCATTCCTTATGTGTTGGATAAAGTATTCTAGAGGGGATCTGAAAGGAATTGTTGTTTTGTCTCGCCATGATTTGGATTTATTGAGCCAGGCAGGGTGATGCTATGCCGTTGAGCGCATCATACCGTGGCGAAGCTAATATTAGCATTCGACCTCATACCAATACCAAAGAATCCAGGTTTTTATGGAGTTACAAATATTGAGCTTACGGGATAGTATGCAGTATATACATTTCCATACTATTTACGGAGTATTATATGCTCTTATACCCGGCTTTATACAAAATAGAAACCTCAGCGGCAAAGGAGAATATAAGGAATGGGGTCATCCCATATTGGCGTTGGCTAACGCCCCCATCTACATTGTCTAAATCAGCTTAGATAATAACATGACTTATACCTGATACCATTATAGATTTGGATGAACATACACATACGAGTCTCCTCAGCCGCCTGGCCTCCAAATAGTTGAGCCGTCTTATCCTACTGTTATCTCTAAACCACTCAGAACTGGATCGTCATTTACATCTCTGTTGAAGCAATTTTTAGTTGTACTTGGGTCTGGATTCTAAATATTGTCTTTGGCAGCTGCGATTATACATCCTGGGCAGATACAAAGAAATACCTCACCAAAGCCGGTCCTGGTGAAGACAAAAGCCCATCGTCTAGCCAATTTCCGTTGGATTTAACTAACAAGAATATAATAGAATCTATCCATCGAGACTTAACTGCAAACATTACTAGATATGGAAGAGAAGTAAAGACGCGCCTGATAGAAATATTTGAGAGGGACTGCATCAAGAGTCTTTCAGAGGAAAAATGTAGGTGTTTTTTCAACCCTGCTGTGAACCCCCTACTTACAAGGAAATATTGGACTGGAATGCAGAAAACTTGAGACTTTATATAAGGAGAACCTATTCTGAAGAGGTAGATTCTGATGCTGCTCTTCAATTACTTTGGAGAAGTTTCCACTTCTTCGCTCATTGCCCGTTTCCCAATGATCCCGCAGGATGGCATTGACTTTGATGCTTTTCAACGTGCTGTATGCTTAACGTCCCTCAATAAGACAAAACATTGCGCGAGGCTAGTAATTCCTGTGTCTGTTGGCGCAATGAGCCTGAATATCGTAAGAATGCGATTTTCGACGGATATTCAGAAGCATTGGATTCCTAGGGACTATTATACCCCACACAGAAAAGAAACACGGAGTGATACCTTCTACTTCAAATGGGATATTGTTGAGCTTGTGCCGAATCCTTGTTGTACACCTACCCCAGTAGATGAGATTGAAGCTGCAGCGCCGGAGATCCTTGAAAATTCTTCTGCCTTGAGGTCAAGAGAGACAAAGCGGGAAGACGTCTCTGTTCTAATAAACTTACTTCTACGTGTAAGATTGGGAAAGGAGAAGTGGTTGAATTTCCCCTTGGGTGAGATTGTGAAATCTGACCCCGAGGAGGGGGAACTAACACTGAGACTGGTGAACGGCTTAACTGAGGGAGAGAAACTTCCTCTAGACCAATACGGCAAGGTGGAGGATGTGCTCATAAATCTGCTATTGGTTGGCTATACGGAGTAGAAATATGTGCTGACATGGTATTCATTTAGCCTGACTTTGATATCAGGTTCTATCAGCTGTGACAGTCCTTTTCCAAACTACAATGGCCGGTATACATGACCCTTGGATGGAGATATGCCATCAAACATATATGCTATTCTCTTTTTTGAAGGGATGCGGCGGGCCTAATACAACCTCTGAAGTAAGTAGTTATACTGTCATGTAAGCATATTACTGATGCAGATAATATATTTAAAAGACGATATCATGCTCAATATACGGAACTTTCCTTTACCTAAGTTTTCTCTGTTGAATACATTTTTGATAACAGTCTGCGGTAACTTCTGAATACTATGTAAATCTGCTGTCCAGAACAGGTCAACCATGCAAGTATTTTGATATGTCTGAGGTTTCGTTGATCAGTATGGCCAGCCAAAGTAGTAAGATGATCGATACTGTATAGCAGAGCAAGCAAGTAAAATTCAATGCGGCCTCAAGCGGCCACTGCTGCCTTGATATCCCTGCGGCGTAGCAGGCAGGCAGACTGACTCAATCTAAGGCCCTTCACAGCCTCGACAGAGGTAGGTATATGCAGAAAGAGAAAGAAGGTCATCTGCTGTGATCAATGAGTGCTGCTATCTGAGAGGGGTGTTCTAGCAGGTTGATGCCTGTCTCGCCGGCCCCTGCCACTGCCCACGCCGAGAAGGGTATAAAAGGAAAGACGTCTGATTTCTCTCTCCCTCTTTTGTTTTCTTTTCTTTCTTCTCTCACCTACCAGTTTGTTTATCTTCAGCTTCATCTCTCTCTCTCTCTCTGCTTCAACTTCATCATCCTGCTGCCTACGCCTCTGACAGAGCTTCACAGACAGGACCAGGCCAGAGAAAGCTGCAAAGATGATCACCACTCCCACCTTCGCCGAAATGGAGGACACGGCTCGCGCAGTCATCCTCTGCCTCAAGAAATGCCCTGATCTCGCCCATACCAAGGTGGCCATCATCGGAGGCGCTGCTATCTGCAGATACGTTGCTGAACGTCAGCCAACTGATGACCCAGAGGTAGGTCCAAAAGCTTGGAGGGGGTATATGTCGCGTCTGGCAGCTAACTGAGGAGCAGGATGTCGACTTCATGATCACCATCCCCAACGCGGAGGTGGCGCACCGCAGACTGCTGCAAGCCTTCGACACCATGTTCACTGAGTACGAGGGCTGCCTGTACTATTCTCACCCAGGCGGAAAGCAGATCAAGGTTGACTTCAGCACCAACTGCCGCGTAAGTGATCGATCTTCGATCTTCTTTAGTCGCGTGTATTCACGTCAGATATTTGGTGACTAACAAGGGGGTATGGTATGTCATAGCTGCCCTACATGCCCATGGCAGCAACCATCGTCCGAGACGTCGACATCAACTGCCTCCCCTACATCGGACCAACCGACCTGCTGGTGCTGTCCATCCGCCTCTGCGGCCAGCGTAACAGTGAGTACTCCCACATCGACCGTGACTCTGCCGACGCGGTGGCCCTGGCCGAGACAATCGTCAAGGAGGGACCTGTCGTCCTGTCTCCCATCCAGCGCCAGGTTATCCGTGAAGAGCTAGCTGAAGTCGTTCACTGGGGTCCCAAGGACGAGACCTGGTGGAGAGGCGTGCTTGCTGCTGCCTTGAGCTCCAAGGACAAATGAAATGGTTCCTGGTTAACCAGTTACGTGGTCCATGGTATCTCATGCCACTTGACAGACTCATATGGATGTCTTCTTTTTTTCTTCTCATCACTTTTAAGGAGTTTTCTTTTACCTGGTCCAGTTCTAGGGGGTTATCATGGCAGTTATCTGGTGAGATGGTTAGTTCAACTGGAGGAGCAGACATGGGGATATTGCAATGTGCATTTGTTATCAGATTACTCATCTCACTTTATCGACAAGCTCGTTATCATGCAAGGATCTCGATGGGGGTGTCGATGGATCGTCAGGGGGAGGTGGCGAGATCCTTGATCAAATAGCTTAACCTGCTCGACTTGATGCATCGGAAGCTGATAATTTGTATGGTATCTCGCTGTGATATAAACATGTTTTATGATGCGGGTAAAACAAGTCACCAGCCACACCTGTAGCGGTTATATATTCTAAGTAGGCTGCAGCACTCCGTACTTCGTAGTAGCATCACATCGCTATCCTGTGCATGTTTCATCGCGCGTGTTGAGTGTTGAGCTTTTGAGGTCGCCGTCGCTTCGTCTGTTTTTAACAAAACTTCTTGTACATCATGACTAATATCTTAATAATCCCACGTGACATATTAGTCATCTCTTACTAATCAACGCGTCTCCCCGCGACTTTTCGCGACGTCGAATTTAATTGAAAAGAAGAAGAAGAAGAAAACGCTTGAAAAGACGCAGAAAAGAGGCTGGAAAGAGAAGAAGAAACGGCAGACCGAGAGCGCGACGATGTCCTCTGACGGCGTGGACTGCGAGGAGCCGCCGTGCATCAACCCGTACGAGGTGTTGGGCGTGGCCGAGCAGGCGGGCGCAGACGAGATAAGGTCGGCCTACAGGAAAAAGGCCCTCAGACACCACCCAGGTAAACGCAAAGTGATAGATATACAGTGATATGATATTGAACAGCAGTGCTAATGCGAGGACATAGACAAGGTCTCGGATAAGGACAAGGATGACGCCCACCGGAAGTTCCAGGAAATCGCCTTTGCGTATGCGATTCTGTCCGACGAGCGACGGCGTCGACGCTACGACACGACGGGCAACACGTCGGAGTCGCTGGACCTGGAGGACGACGACTTCAGCTGGACGGACTTCTACCGCGAGCAGTTCAGCGTCATGATCGACGGGACGCTGCTGGACAAGTTCAAGCAGGAGTACAAGGGCTCGGACGAGGAGAGGGCGGACCTGCTGCGGGTATATGAGGAGTGCAAGGGGCAGATGGACGGGATCTACGAGCGAGTCATGGCCAGCGACGTGTTGGAGGACGACGACCGGTTCCGCGCCCTCATCCGCGACGCCATCGAGGCCGGTGAGGTCGCGGACTATCCAGCCTTCACGGAGGAGCCGGCGGAGACGAAGCGGGCACGGCGTAGGGCTGCAAGGAAGGAAGCCGGCGAGGCCATAGAGATGGCCCGGGAGCTCGGGGTCGAAGAGAAGCTGTTCGGCAGCAGCAGCAGCAGCGGTAGGGGCAACAAGAGCAGCAGCAGCAAGAAGACCAAAGGAGGTAAAGGCGGCGGAGACGGGGGCGAGGATGCGCTGATGGCGCTCATCCAGCAGCGCCAGAAGAGCCGGGGAGAGTCCTTCCTGGCCAACCTGGAGGCCAAGTACGCCCCGAAGAAGCACAAGCACAAGAAGCGGGCTGCAGAGGACGATGAACCGCCGGAAGAAGCATTCCACAAGCCGCGAACCCGGACACTGGACCGGGACCGGGGCCACCACGATGGCCAGAACCAGCACCAGCCACGCGAGAATAATGCTAAGAATAAGAGTAATGGACGCAAGAGGGCAAAGCCGTGAAGTGAAGGGCCCATAATTCCTTTTCCCCGTCCCCTCGATCACCGCCTGATCTGCCCTCCCTGTGTTATCTAGTGCCGGGTGTCTTCTTTCGTTCTCCCCGTTCGGCGTTGCGTGGTTGGCCTGGGACGGTGCTTGTTGGAGCAAGGGAGTTCTCTCGGGTCTGCTGCATGCGCTTTTTCTTCTTCTCTGCTTCCTCCCTGCAGGCCCGAATGTGATGCCAAGCAGGCGTTCCTCTTCCTCAGCTGTCTCTGTCTTGTCGTCGTCGTTTTCTGTGTTATTACTATGTAGCCGGCTCGTCCTCTGCCAAATACAACACCAACACCAACTATCACCAACTATCACCAGCAGCAACACCAACAACAACTATCACCAGCAACAACAATCACCAGCATCAGCAACAACAACAACTGCGAAACGGCTATCCAGGACGAGACGAACAAGCGCATCTCGTCCCGGGGGCTTCCTGGTCGCTTCTGCTTGGCCTTTCCTTGTTCTTCGTCTTGCCCAGGCCCTAATATAAACAACATGGACGAGCTGCTTCAGCCACATCCTCGCCTTCTCCCGCGCTCTGAATCGCGACCCTGAAAGCCGACCTGCTCGTCTCTCTGCCTCTCTCCGTCTCTCCGTCTCTGTCTCTCTGCCTCTGTCTGTCTGTCCTCCCCTTCGCTGCCCTGCGTCGTCCTGTTGCCGTGAGACTGACTGGCACAGCTTGATTCCTTGTCCCACCAGCGCTGCCGCTAGCGACGCTCCCTGTGGCTGCGGCGCCACGACCGAACCAGCATCCTGACTCTGGGAATCATCGCAGGAACGCTCTCGCTGCCTCCCTTTTTGCTGTCCGTCCTGAACGACTCGCTGCCAGTGTGTCCCTCCGTCTGACGTTCTGTCGCCGTCGAGCTTTTTGGGCGCGGGCGGGTTTTGCCTGGCTCCACCAGAACCGCCAGCAGATCCAAGCCTATCTCGCTCGCTTTCGTATTTTCTCGCTTTCTCTCTCTCTCTCTCTCTTCCTCTTCTTCCTCTTCTTCTTCTTCCTTTCACCATGGTCCCCAAGATGTCTCTCGAGTCCGCCCTTGACGAGGAACGGCGCGAGATCCTCGAGATCCTCCAGGGCCGCACGCAGCAGCAGCAGAACAGCCCCCAGAGCCCTCAGAGCCAGCATAACCAGTCTCCTCGTCCCCACCACCATGCTACCGTACAAGCTCCTCCCATCCGCTCCATGCTCGATGTTGCGCCTGCTCCCTCTGGACGGCCAGGGTCGGTCAAGTCGTCGTCTGCCAGCGTCCGGAGCATGCTCGACCCGATATCACCCTCGCCGCTGAGGGAGACTCACAGCGCGGCATCCTCGCCCACCTCCTCAGCCCATACTCCGTCCATACACGAGCCGGAAGGCCTGCGTAGGGCCTCAGAGTCGTCCTATGGCGGCCTGCCGTCGATAGGGAAGAAGACCGGCGTCGAGGCGTACCAGTTTGGCATGCTACCCAGCGTACCGAGCCAGCTGCCAAAGCGAGTCACCCAGGGTGGC